AGAGATAACTATCCGTAGCTTTGGCTTGGGGTAAAATTTCGAAACTTGTGGCGTCTTCCAGCAACCTGCAATAGAATCGATTGTATTAAATTCCCGAATTTGGGTGTTTGATATATTTTCCAATGGTCGAATTGATTTAATAATTAGCGGAAGCATCTTTAATCAATCGATTACCCGTTGTGCCGACAATTTGTTTTTGGACGTTCGGTTTCAATTTTTGCCGAAATGGACTTCAAGGCAGTACGGGTGGCGGTGGCGGTAATTTAGCCACTACTGTAAATATAAAAGGATCCGAGGCGAGGTTTTATAAAATAAAAATAAAAATCAATACTCCATACATTTGTTTACATAAGTTTTTGTGTATTTGTTTGGTTTTTTAAATAATAAATTAAGTTTAAATACATATTTCCCTCCCCCTACCTTTATTCCCCTTGTCGTTGTAAATTAGCTACACTGCCGATACGTCACGTTTTGGTGTTATTGACCTACTTCTCTTTCGGTTCTCGGTAAGTTTCCATTTCTGAAGGAATAACGGTTTCTGTTCGGTTTTCGGTTCTGAAAAAAATTTTTCGGTCCGGTATCTATCTTGGACATTTAATAGCCAAAGGGTTGTAAAATAATATTAACATTTCTGTCCATATTTCAATTTCCACCTGTATATTTTCTAAATTCAGTCATTGAATGCGACCAATTTCTAGTTACTTTTGCATTTCTGTGTTTACCTCTCCGATTTAACTTGCCTTCTTGTCGTTAGAGGACATTTAGTTAGTTTTGTTCTTTTTATGTTAACCATTAAATTACCTTATATGGTCATATATCAAATACTGCTCTACTATTCGTCAGAGATAACTATCCGTAGCTTTGGCTTGGGTAAAATTTCATAACTTGTGGCGTCTTCCAGCAACCTGCAATAAAATCGGTCGTACTAAATTCCCGAATTTGAGTGTTTGATATATTTTCCAATGGTCGAATTGATTTAATACATAGCGGAAGCATCATTAATCAATCGATTACCTGTTGTGCCGACAATTTGTTTTTGGACGTTCGGTTACAATTTTTTTCCGAAATGGACTTTTAATACGGAGAACTCAAGCATTCCAAATCTTAAGTGTTTTCTTGTGCACGAATTGAGGTTACCGATGTTTTTTCTATTGTAGGAGAGCAAATACCTGCCATATACTTGTAGTAAATTTTGGAGTCATTTGGGACGTATCCAGTTTTTTTCTTTTGTGTACTCTCAGAACAAGAGGTTAGCATTATTGTGGATTATAACGTAGTCGTAATTAGGTTACTTTTTAGAGTCTTTGCAAGGGGGTTAATATTCAGCCGAATCCGGGGAAATAATCGGCCTACTGCAGATGAGTGTGCTGTAAAACATCCCGTAGAATCATTAAGATCTTAAGGGCAGTCGAACGTAAATCGTGAGAGAAATATACCTGGAGCACAAGCTTTGTTACCTCCGTAGGAGTTATTTTTGGTTACACCAGGAACCTGTGGAATTGCCGACACAATTTATCGTTAGCGGTGGCGTGCCTTCAAATTTTTTTTTCTATTTTTGTTAAGATCTAAATATCTATGAACAATTTATTTGACCCACATATATGTGCAAATTTTTACGTGCAATTAGTATGCTTGATCTTTAGGACTGTTTAATTATCAATTACCAATTATTCTAGAGAAGTAATCACTTGTAAGTTAAAGAGCTCGTTACTACGATTAATTTCAACACCTCAAGCTACCGATTATAGTACATCATTTCAATTTTAATTTCTAGTAATTATACTTGTCGTTGCTTAGCGGTACGAGGTGTCACATAACTTCAGGGGTTGTTGGTGGGTTAATTTTTGTGTTAATAGTTCATGGGAAGATTTCATTTTTTTTTTGTATTTTGCATACTCTTTGGTTAATAAACAATAATTTTCCTTGTGGGTCAATTGGGTCTTTTTATATTGAAGCTACTTTTCCTAATTCCGGTGGCTGCAGATAAAATTGTAGTGGAATTAGGTGGTGCCCAAAAGATTTGAATCGGATCACCAGAGTGGCGGAGATTTACTTGGAACCTTTTATAATAATTTGTGGTCAAGTCAACTATTTGGCTAACGGAGCTAGCTGGCCGATCAGCGGCGTGTGTTGATTTCAAATTGCACATGGTATATTATAGTGCCCTGCATTCTAAGCTTGCGCGTATGTGTATATTTGAACTTTGATTGGCAGTACTTGTGTGTGAGGGTTGCTCTCTTTTATCATTTACGGCCCTGCTTCCTTTGTACTCCGCAAAGGTTTGGAAGTAGAACTTGTGGCGCCCACATTCTCTTTCTTTTGCTTCTTTAAGGTATAGTAGGTTTCGGCAAACGTGCCACCCATCCCGTCTCCACTGAGCTAGTGACAGGCCAGACATTTGTTTAAATACACACTCGGATTGGACACAAGATTCGATCATATTAGTTGAATTTTGTTTTGTATTAGAATTGTTAGTTGTTAATCTTGTTTAAATAATCACCTTTATTGCTCAATTTTATTACTTGTTAAAACATTAGATCATCACATCTGGAGACAACTACTGCGTAGGATTTATAAAAGTTTATCTCCGGTCGTGGATAAGAAATTTTGATATCTACCAAAACCGGGAAAGCCTCCCCAGGAAGCTGCATCTTACCGACCAATAACACTTCTGTCATGCTTATCTAAACTACTAGAAAACTTAATATTAAAACGCCTTAAGCCATTAATCCACGAAGACATTACTCCAGACCATCAGTTCGGCTTTCGAGAAAAGCACTCGACAGTAGAAAAAGTTAATCGAATTGTCAAGATAATAGGAAATGACTTAGAAGAGAAACGGATATGCTCAGCAGTATTCCTGGACATCAAGCAGGCGTTCGACACTGT